TACGTACGTACGTACTACTCTACGTCTACTACTACGTACTACTACGTACTCTACTACTACTACTACTACTACTACTACTACTCTACTCTCTCTCTCTCTCTCTCTCTCTCTCTCTCTCTCTCTCTCTCTCTCTCTCTCTCTCTCTCTCTCTCTCTCTCTCTCTCTCTCTCTCTCTCTCCTGCCCTACGTGCTTCTTCCCCAAAAAGCTCCTACCCACCCCACTAGAGAAATCACACACAGTTTCAGAACCCAATTGCTCTCTATCTTTTTCAACAATACAAACTCTAGTCTGAAATGTAGTATAACAAGTCCATGAATTCAAGAATAACAGAAAGAAATGGCAATGATGACGGAACCTGGTGTTTGTTTCAGAAGAAGAAGGAGCAGATGGCAGGTTCCTGTTGAAGAGAAAACCGCGGCGTTTGTTTTGCTTCATCTTTTCGAAACGCCAATGAATCGTTGTGGACCAGAGATTTTTCTCTGCAAGATTTTTCCTAATTCGGGGGGTCATCAACAATTAGTGGCCCTCAGGACAGAGTAACAACACTCCAGCTATTATAGCCAACCGTTCTCTTCTCTCTGTAATTATAGCCATCCGTCTCGCAGTGTTTAAAGCCAGATACAAGGTTGGGCCGGGCCGGGCCGGGCATGGCCGGGCCGGGGGCTCAGCCCTAGCCATTCTCTTATCCCTCATAGGACCCACCAGGCCCGGTCAAGCCTTAATAGGGACCGGACCAAAAAAACAAACTAAAAAAAAAAAAAATTTGTTTCATATGGGCTGGATCGTATTTCTACACATGCGATCCAGTAAGTATAAAACATCCATCTTAAATATGGATGCAAATATGTGTTCCATCTAAAAACAATGGAAACTAACGGTCCAAATGTTTTCTTACTGATTTAAAGATGCACCTAAAAAATCCATAGACAAAAGTTGTTTTTAATGTTGGAAAACCCTCTAATTAATCTTCTTGATATCGAGATGTATGAATATAAAAATAAAAAAGAGAAGTTGTTTTTAATGTTGGAAAACCTTCTAATTAATCATCTTGTTATTGAGATGTATGAATATAAAAAAAAAGAAAAGATATTGAGTCCCAAAAATAGTGCATCTTCCAACATATTATCTAGACCGTCTATTCTCAAGACTTTAATATGTTTATAAATCTGTTTGATTTTAACCATTTTTGGAGTTTAAAATTTTATAGTTAGAGGTAAAAATAGATTTTTAGACAATCCTAAGAATTTTTTATACCAAAATCACATGTTATGATAAAATTTGGAGGTGCGTCTTAATTGGATTGTTTAAGGTCCTAAAAATTTTTTATACCAAAATTACATGTTATGATAAAATTTGGAAGTGCACCTTAATTGGATTGTTTAAGGTCCTAAAAATTTTTTATACCAAAATTACATGTTATGATAAAATTTGGAGGTGTACTTTAATTGGATTTCTTAAGGTTGCAACGTTATAGAAATCACACCCTTTACATATATAAGAATCTAAATACCCCAGTTTTGAGGCACATCCAAGTTTTGTACATAAGCCCCAAACACCCCTTCAAAGACTTGGGAGGTTGGGTTAGGTCGGATCCGGGTACATTGGAATATAAATATTTGAAAATAAACAATCCAAATAATGTATTGTAAGATACACTATTATTAGGACTCAAAATTTTTTTTTTTTTAAATTTCATACATCTCAATATTGAGATAATCAATTAGAGGGTTTTCCAACATCAAAACAACCTTTTTCAATACATTTTTTATATATATCTCAATTCTACAGTTTAAGGTTTGCAACCTTATATAAATATTTTCTAAAAGGTTGTTTTGGAACTGAAAGTCCCCAATTAATCATCTCAACCTTGAATGTGTGGATGCGAGAAGAAAAAAGAAAAATTTCAACACCTAAGAGGCGCATCTTGTAATATATTATCTTGACTGTTTATTTTTTAGATTTTAAGTTTTTAGAGATCTACTTGTTGTGCACCATTTTTTGAGTTTTAAATTTCACGATCAGAGAGGAAAGCATATCTAGGCCATCCTAACAATTTTTTATGCAAAAATTAAGTTAAGTCTCATCAACTTGGACCAAATGGCTCCAAGTTGGTTGGGCTCAACCTACAAATCATCGGACCCATTTACACCCCAAGGGAGAGAAAAAGCAACAAAAAAACTAGCAAGATTTATATGCTTCCATTGTGATTATAATCCGATCGAAACACATAAAAGGAAAAAAAATATTCGGCTTAAATTATTTTACATGAAATATTAAAACTTGAGAGGTTCACGGTCCCATTTATCCTGGCAATGTTTACTTTTTAAAGGGTCATTTTCACAAAAACACCTCGCCAAAAATTTGAAATTCTCAAAATACCTATATTTATGGTTTAAAACCTGAATAACCAGAGCAGTTTGGCAATTTGGCTCCTTAGAGTGGCTTGAGCTAAATTACCAAAGTAACTTTAGTTGATCATGATTAGGAAAATGGAACTATCAAATGACCAAAATAAGCTTTGATGTTTAAGTTTAGTAATACAAAAGAACGGCCATTTTTATCATTTTTTAGTTTTATTCCCAACCATTAACAATCAAAGGTATTTTTTGTAATTTTGTTCGTGCCATTTAACCGGGCTAAGTTACAAAGCTAACCATAGTTATTCAGGGTTCATAGTCCTAAATAGGAGTAATTTGTGAATTCTTGAGTAATTTTTTTACGGAAATACATTTCAAAATGAAAGTTAAAATGTAGAACTTGCATTGGCAAATAGGATCATTTCAGTCCATTATTAATTTTGTATAGTTTGAGCCCGATGAATGATATTTCCCTAATTTTTAGAAAACTAAACCCCAGCATGCCTAGATTGAGGATTAGGTTTTAAAAAGAATTGTTGTGAGAAAATCTCTCTTTGGGTTTGTGTATCTCAAATATTCATTTCTAACTATAGTCTCTTTTTTTTCGTTTCTTTTTGTTTTTTTTGTGAAAAGTTAAGAAAAGAGTTCCCTACCTGTAATAGGAATGAAATTTAAAACATCATGTTGAAGCGCCATGCTACCCTGATAACCTAACCTTAAGTTCACTCCTAAAAGATAAGGTATTTATCGAAGGAAGAGCTCTAATATTTTTCTCTCTTTTGAGTTTGATAGCTAGTTTGTAGATGTTACATACCCAATATTTGGGGTCCTAAAAATACCTCCTATATCACGTTTTACCCATAGGACTGAATGAAAGGAATGCTCCCATGGGAGTATGGAATCTTTTTAGTTTGTTCAATGATTTGTTTGGTATTAGTGATTATAATTCTCCTTGTGGACTACAAATGGTTCCTGATGACAAAGGAACCAGTGTCAACTCCTTTAGAATGAACAGCAAAATAAAATTCCTAATAGTTGGGGGAAAAGAGCCAACAGCTTTTCCCCATATTTCGTAGGAATGGCTTAGCTGCAGTTGAAAGGCGAAGAATTTTCACAAAAACCAGTGGCTTTACACGTCGGTGAAAAAGGCATATCAAATATTAGGCATCCCAATATGATACAATAGAGTTTCTGATTTTTTGATATGATTTTTAAAATGAGGTCATGAATTGTTGTTAGGGGAGTCAATTGATAATGTTTATCTGTAGCTGTTGATGCAGGTACTTAAAAGAACCTTGGAAAATATCTTGAGAGGCAAGTCTCAATGGAGGGGTTTGATCTCACACAAAGACTTGTTGCCATACAACCAGCAACGTACAAAGAACCAACATAAAGGAAAAACAAAGTAAAAACTTCATCTATGAAACTTCACTTAAGAAATTCTGTAAATTGATGACAATTTCTTTGATGGAAACATCGCTCCCTTTTTTTCCTTTTAATAAGCTGATGATTAACCATTGTCAATGACAATTTCTTTGATGGAAACATCGCTCCCTTTTTTTCCTTTTAATAAGCTGATGATTAACCATTTTCCCATGAGTTTTATCTATGTATGAGAACAGAAAGTATCAGAAGATGAAGATGAAGAAGAGCAATGTACAAGGTTAAGTGGAGCCCAGAGCCCAATAACTTGGCCTACAACAGAGAACCATGCGACCAAGTAATGACTGCACAGATCCTCTGGACGGCTGGAGTAGAGCCTCTGTTGAAGGAGCAATCTCATCCATTCACTGGTTCCACATGGGTGCAATGTAAACCATGGGCAATTCAAGTACGGATGCTCCTGTCGCCCATTCAAAATATCAAATACAATAACAGGCGAACACTTCAATAATTTGTAGAAATATTCAAGACATTTTATCACTTTTTGAACTCTGACCAGTTTTAAGATGTTTTGGTTATTTTTAGATGGGAGAGAGATATGGATTTGGGACCACATACAAGACTCATGGCTAGCATAATTCAAGTTACTCAGACCAACAATCTGCCATCCGTACTTATCAATGGCTAGTGGAGATGAGCTGATGTTTAACGGTCTACTTTTTAGTCCATTTTGTCCATCAGCTGAAACATCGGCTTATCTCTCTACCTTCCATTAGGAAGTGAAAGTGGATGGCCAGTCTGATACCTTACACTATTCTCGTGCATGCTAATTCAAAATAAGAAGCAATGCCGCATAGGTTGATGTGTGTGGTTTGTATAAGGTGTCAATCTTCTTGAGAATCAAAGATTAACACCTGTATAAGGTGTCAATCTTAAACAATCAAAGTAAGACGCACCTCCAGACCTTGTCGGAAGATATAATTTTGGTGTCAGAAATACCTAGGATAGCCTGAAAATTTATTTTCACTTCTAATTATGAAATTTAAATCTCCAAAAATGGTGCAGATCGAACAAATCTATCAACTCTTGAAAATCTTGAAAATTGAGGGTCTAGATAATGTGTTAGATGCACAATTTTTTAGAACTTGAAATCTTTTTTTTCTATATTCATACATCTTGAGACCAAGATGCTCAATTGAAGGGCTTTACAATGTTGGAACAACCTTTTCTAATGGATTTTTGAGGTGCATCTGGAGTTTTGAGGTGTGCCTTACCTCTACAGTATAAGGTTGACAACTATGGTGGCAAACACACAGTGACAGAGGTGAGGTGAGTAAATGGTGCAAGGGCATGAATGTTTTGAGAGGGAAGAGAATGGGAGTGCATGTATGTTGGGTGGGAGGGCACGCATGCACACTCGCTCAGACGTGCACACATGCACACTCGCTCAGACGCACACATGCACACATCCAGATATGGTAGAAATGAGGGGGGGGTTGGCGGGGGAGAATGTACATTACAAGTACACCAAGTAGATGAACTTGAAACGGGCTTCCAACTTTGTCAAGAAGAGGGTGAAATCCATGTCTCCTCCTACAACACTAACTAATGATTGCTTATTTTTTGTAAGGAAATAGAAGTTCATACAATTAGGGATAAAAAAAATAAACCTCTTGAGTGATAAATGTCCATTTTGACTCCTCCAGCAATTTTGAAGTGTACAAAGGGAGATCTTTCTCAACTTCATCACATTTTAAGGGCTGTCCACCTGCAAATTTTAGATATCTTTTGCGACTTAAAAGCTCAAGCATATCGAGGGTTTTCACAAGGAAAATAATGACAATAAGACACTTACCTTGGTGGTAACCACGAAAGAAAAGCACAGGAACCTTGTAAGACGTACTGTAAATTATATGGAAATTGTAGTAGTGAGTTTCATTTTCTCCACTTAAAACCTATAAAGACAAGAGGAAAGGAAAGCAGTAAAAGTCAAATGTGAACATGGAATAAAACATTGCGTATCTTTCACAGAGCATACACAAAATTCTTAGCACGGGTTTACCAAAATAGGTGCACATATGCAGCCCTATTTTATTCACCTTTTCTTCCTTTTTCTGTGTTAAGTAAGAAGAGAAAATAGAACCAATTAAATGGATTTGTGAAAGTGTTTGAACAAGGGAAAACGTAAAATGTAGGGCTCTTCATCGGGTCCTACACAAACACCAATATCAAAAAAATGGAGAGAGGGAGAGAGGGGAACATGGAGGCACAAAGTTGCTCCAATGGATCTCGACAGATGTGAAGAATGTACATGATCCTTGATTTTCATCAACATATGGGTTTCCTTTGCTCTCATACGATGTAAAAGGTTTTAGACCATGAGAAAATCAAATGCACCGAAGTTGATCCCAGATAAATGTAATGAACACGAGTAGTCATATCACCAGAATAGTATACAAAAGTACATACACGACTAAACAATCCAAGGACACATCCATGAACATTCTCACAGTTCTAATGGGACTAATCAGCGACTAATCAGCCAAACGAAGGGCAAGAGATACAGTACTTACCAAAGTTGCACTATCCAAAGCTTCTACTTCTTCCTCAGAATACTTTTGCTCTATGCAATCTTGCTAAATAGACAGTAAGAATATATACAAGATTATCAAAATTATTAACATATGCTCTGCAACTTAGATGCAATCTTGCTAAATAGACAGTAAGAATATATACAAGATTATCAAAATTATACACATATGCTCTGCAACTTAGAAAGAACTGTATCTTAAAAGCCTAGTGGATGAATACGCTAGCATGTATTAACTGTCCCATGTACATTAAAAAAGAGGAAAATACCTGCTTTTTGAATTCAAAATGATGAATATGTTCAAGGGATAAATAACCACCTGCCTGAAAGGAACCAACATCAATAATAGTAAAACATGAACAGTCTCAATGATGCCAAATAACTGTAGTTAGGAATATTACAGGGGTCCAAACTCACTTTATCTGGAGCCCCAAAAGGTAATTTTGGACAAGGTATCCATATCCATGGATGCAAAATTGACTTGCACTCTTCCCATTTTTTCATGAGGGCTTCTGCTGCAAACTTGAACTCAGTGGGAGAGAGAGTTCCATCGCAAGGAGAGGCCATTTTCATGGTAAAACAACCAATCACAATGTATTTATGCGATATATTTACACATTAAAGTAATCCGTATTTGTATTCATAAGCAGCAATGTTAAACCATTGAAAAGGTTACAAATGCCAACCTGCACACCATCATTTTATAAACATAAGAACCTCAACTAAAATATAACACATTCATAAAAAAATCACAAAGTTATCTTCATAACACAGTGAAACTATTTTTCAGAAAAAGCATGAACATAAGAGAATTGTCGGCAATAACTTGGATGGTATTGGCCATCTGTGATCGTGTTTGCCAAATTCATGGTGATTTCATACACCAAAAACATAAGCCATTGGTTTTATGGATTCCAATGGTTTTGCGGATTCCACCATTGTTGGGGCTTTGGCCCTCATAGAGAGCCTTCATAAATTCAACCTTAGCTAGAGCTTGGAGGTGTTAGTGGAAGGGGACTCCAGGAATTGTCATAACCTGGGCCTCCGGCTTAGCACCTTGCCCCTGGAGACTTGACCACATTAGCAATGAAGTAGCCCCCCACGCGAAAAATTTCCGAGTCTCTTGGAGACATATCTTCAACACCCAGCTGATATGCTCGCTAGAGAAGGAGCAGCTATCAATTCCAACTAGGGGAACACGGCAACTCATCGAGCATCTTGCCCCATTTTTAATGCCTAATCTGTGTAGAGCATTTTTTGTGCCCCTGTGTCAGTTTCTGTACAGGGTACCCTTCCTAGGTGCCTTTTAACATGCTTGTACTCTTTACATTTCAATACAATGTCAACATATTAAAAAAAATAAAAAATTGAACGTATATTTGTACATAATCAAAACCATAGAAATGAGAGAATTTCCTTATCCTAGTTTTTAATTGTGAATATTAGTTTTGGATGTGTGGAGTTGGAACACTTGATGACATGTTATAGCTTTGCCTATCCCTACCCCTGTGCCAAGAGTAAAAAAAACACCTCAACCACAAAACAGATGCAAGGGCCTTATATGTCCAAAGCTCCTTATAAAACTCTGTGAATGCATCACAATAGAGCATTAGGGCTCATACACAAGGCCATAAACAATTGAAAAATCTTACTTCTACATACAAGCGTTCCCATGGTGGCATGATATCACCAACTACATACTGCACAAATCACCGTTGACAATCGTGATTGCTAAAGCCACTTGGAATACAATTGATTGGTTGTTAAAGAGATAATACTTCGTTCTCAAGACACATGCATCACTAATTAGCTTATAATATATTTTGTATTCCTACCTTGGATAGCATGTTAACATATGAGAACCCTACGAAATGCTACCGATAACTTCCCTTCCCATATGATTAGAACAATGGATTTGCCTCAGAAAAGTATGTCACCAGAAATTGATCACATTACCCCACTAAAACAAAGACCTATATGTTCATGTTCCTTTTAATCCACCAAACCATATGTTCTTGTTCCTTTTAATCCACCAAACTTGCTTACCTTGAGATAATATTGTTTAATTAACAATAAAAGCACATCACAGATGTCTCAATATCCAACAGAAGAAATGAATCCATAACAACATCAACAAGTAGGGCATATAATAAAAGATATACCATTTTCCCATTAACGTTAAATTCGGATGATCATTTTCAAAGGCATTGTCCCATTACAACCAGAAAAAACAGAGCAGAATTGTTGGAGATTCGAATACCCGAAACACCAATTTAACTGATCACCGAATATCACACACTCAAAACCGAATATGTAAAATCGATAATCTAATAATAAGCTCAAAGAATCATGTGCAATAATTTAGAAAAAATAAATAAGAGATGAAATCACAATCATGAGAGAAAATAAAAGAGATAAACCACAACACGAATTTAACGTGGTTCACCCCATAGTGCTACGCCTACGGGCATGCCGCCAAGTAATTGCACTATCAAAGATAATTTTATAAAAGGGATACAATAATACCTCAATAGAGAAAACCGGTGAAAACCATCACCAAAATACCTTCTTGAAACCACAAAAAAAAAACCTACGATATACCCTGCAATTCTTTTGGGATGATCCAAGACCTTAAGCACACAAGTTCATACAATTTCTCCATAAAAATGGACAAGAAATCCCTCTTCCTCACCTCTTTCCCTCTCCCCCATAACCAAAAGAAGCCTTAACCGCTTTTTAGAAAGAGAGAGAAAAGAACCAAGAAAATGTGAATCGTATGCCCAAAAGTTCGTTTTTTAGCTTTTATCCAAGTTACCTAATTAGTGATGAAGAAACCTCTTAACAAATGTGGAAAAGACAAATACATGGAAAGGTGAATTTCTATCGCCATTAACAATCTCCATCTTGATAATAAATTACTTACTTGCCTTACCTTCCCCTTTTTATTTTTTCATGAAGCATAAAGAAGTTGGCTCCATTCCAACTTCTCTACGGGAACCGTCTTCGTGAGCATGTCCGCCACATTTTCCTTGGTTCCAACTTTCACCAAACGAATCAAACCATCTTCAACAACTTGTCGAACATAATGGTTTCAGACTAATATGTGCTTTGTCCTCTTGTGATAAACATGATTCTTAGCCAAATAAATGGCACTAATATTATCACAAAGTATTTCCATGAGCATAGATTCGATACCTAATTCACCCATAAGACCTTGAAGCCAAACCACTTCTTTACTTGTTTCAATTGCCACCATGTATTCCGCCTCGATGGTGGATAATGTTATCGACGACGGTTTTGATAGAGAAGTTGGAATGGAGTCTAACTTATTGCCACCATGTATTCCGCCTCGGTGGTGGATAATGCTATCGACAACGATTCTGGTAGAGAAGTTGAAATGGAGTCTAACTTCTCTAAGCTTCATAAAAAAGTAAAAAAAAGAGTTATCAAGAAGGCAAGTAGGTGTTTTACTATCAAGGTGGATATTATTAATGACAATAGAAATTAAATTTGCAGGAAAAGGAAAAGAGGTGAGGAAGCGGGATTTCTTGTCCATTTTTATGAAGAAATTGTATGAGCTTGTGTTGCTCAAGTTTTTGGATCATCTGAAGATAATCATAGGGTGAATCGTGGGTTTTTTTGGGTAGTTCAATAAAGTATTTCGATGACGATTTTCATCAGTTTTGTCTATTGAGGTAACAATGTATCCTCCTTGTAAATCTCTCTCTAATAGAATATGGTTGGTAAGAGATTTGCTTTGATAAACACTTTTCAATTTCTCCGACAAGCCTTTTGTCGTCTTCTCTCCCACTATATTGAATAAATCTTATTTGCTAGGCACAATTGAATTGCAGCCAAGGTCCATTTCCTCCCAATCCTCATTACTTATGGATTCCGGATTCTTTTCCTTTCTAAGTAGTGCTTTGTATGGTCCTTGTTGGACAAAAGATCATGAACTTGAATTTTCCAAATCTCAAAATCATTTTGTCCATCAAATTTCTCCACCTTGGGTTACTCGCCATTCTCCCAAATATATTGTAGAAAATCTAATGCTCTGATACCACTTGTTGGAGATTCGAATACCTGAAACCCCAATTTAACCGATCACCGAATATGACATACTCGTGTGCAATAATTAAGGAAAAATAAATAAGATATGTAATCATAATCACGAAAGGAAATAAAAGAGATAAATCATAACATAAATTTAACTTGGTTCACCCTGTCTGGCTGTATTCACAGGCAAACCGCCAAGTAAGTCCACTAAAACCGGTGAAAACCATCACCGAAATACTATCCAAAAAACCCATTGATTTACCCCGTGATTCTTTTCCAATGATTCAAGAACTTGAGCAACATGTGCTCATATAATATAAGAAATCCCTCTTTCTCACCTCTTACCTTTACCTCATCACCAAAAGAAGTCATTAACCCATTTTTCAAAAGACGCCATAACCCATTTTAAGAGGGAGAAGACAACCAAAAGCAAAAAGCAAATCTATGCAGAAAAGCTCTTAACTTAGTAACCAAAAAGCTATTTGTTCTTAATTTAGTGACGAAAAAGCTATTTAACAAATGTAGAAAAGAAAAACACATGCAAATGTAAATTTCTATCACCATTAACAAGAATGATTACAAAATATCAAAATCAGAGATATACTTCAATCCAACAAAGAAAAATACCACCATTCCCACAAAAATAACCTATTCCAAAAGAACAAAAGAGAAATAACCAGAACATCATTTCCAAACGAAAACCAAATTGAAATTTGGAATTTCAGAGAAACATACCACTATCACCTATCCTTTATGCGAAAACCATAATCAGCAAGCACTGCAAGGAGAGAGAAAACAAACCACACCCCCAAATGCTACCGGTAAAAAAATGAAGAGTGAGACAACAAACCACACCCCCAACTGCTACCTGTAAAAAAATGAAGAGTGAGACAACAAATGCAGAAGAGAGAGAAAATTTCTTTCAAAGAGTCAACCAAAATTGCAGGAGAGAGAAAACAAAGAGCGGGTAAAAATACCAGTAAAACGGATCCCCCAGAAAGAACACTGAAAATGTTGAGATCTCTCACAAATCTGTGAATCTAATATTCGCCACTCTCTGCCCTGCGCTTTAGAGAGAGAGAGAGAGAAATGTCCGTCCGCTTGGGTCGTCGAGTATTTAATGGTTGGGAACAGGGGTGACGAAAGTGACCAAATTGTTCAGAGATGTCATTCTGATAAAATTTAAAGTTTTAAAAGTATTTATGGAAGGAGTAGATCAACAAACACTGGAACTTAACATAAAATCATTTTAAGGTTGCAACCTTATTAAAACCTTTTCCCTTTTTTTTTTTTTTAGATGTGTTTTTAAGAGAGTTTTTTTTATAGGTGTGACTTTAAGAAAAGGGGTGGACACCCAAAATTTAGTATCAAATTAGTTTATAAAAAAATTTAAAATAAAATGTTTTAGAGATCGACATTGTGATTAGAGTCATCCCAACCATCTATTCGGAATGAAAGGTTGGATAGGGGAAATCATATTAATTTTATACAGTAGGGGAAACATAAAAAGCTTGCCCAATAAAAAATAGTCATGTAAAAAAGTTCTTTATTTCATTACTCACGTCAACTTTGTACATCCTATTAGATTAATAACTTTTGCCAACAAACGCACCTCCTCTTTCGATCAAAATGCCTTATTAAATCTTATGACCATCCAGAAACCATGCTTATTACGTAAATGGCTTAACACCAAGTTCCTCGGCATTTCTAGCACATATAACATGTTCTTCAAGGTGAGAACTTTACCAAAATGAGTTTCAAGTCCACTGTTCCTTTACCAAGTATTCTTGCTAAGGCTTGGGTTCTCAGTTGGACTGAATTCCCATCCTCCACCGGTTCCTAGGTATTGAAGTAATTCTAGTTGTTACAAATATAGATGGTAGCACATGTCAATCCACCAACTAGAATCATTCCCAATTAAAATGATCTTATTGAACATAGCCACAAAATTTTCTTTAGTAGTTAAGTTTGCTTGGTTTAAGGGCTTTACAACCCTCTTCTAATGTCGACACTCTTTAAGTGCTTCCTTGATTTCCCAAAAAGTAACATATGCAGTTTTGTTTAGACTTTTTATCTATAGATATGTCTTTTTAAATAAATATTTCTTGTTTAGAGGCTTGTCCTTAGACTCTTGCTCTACAAGGTTTGCCTTGGACTATAAGTCCCTTGTCAACTTAGTTTCGTAGCCCAATTTTCAAATTTAAAGCCTACTCCTTCCTCAATGCGAAGAGACCATTGAATTTGAACGAGATAAATATACTGTGATTCATTTTTTTTTTGGGTACTCTCTTCATAATAGGGGTAACTTATGAATAATGACTCCCACTTGGAAATCCTCACTGAACCCCACTTCACAAACTTCAAGTTCATCAATAAAAAGTTACAACTCATATACTTGATTGAGTATAGGCTTATTGTCAATGAACTTAAAGTCAAGGTAATTCGAAATAAAAATTCTTTGGTTACTTGACTCCTCAGTCTTGTATTTGATATTCGACTTGCTCCAAACTTCCTTTGTTGTGGACAATGGTCCATACATGCCGAAGATGGGGTCTATGAATATGTTGAGGATGTGTCTTTTGCATACGAAGTCATCCTCCATCCACTTCTAGCTAAGTTTTGACTTCTGCTCACGCTATTGTTCTTGTTCCATTGTCTCTCATTCCCCTTGTAGTAGCTCCTTCAGTATGGGATTAAAGAGAACATCAATAAAAGTACGAGCTTTTGTTGCCACTTTCAAAAGTTTGACCTGTCAAAGCGGTCTATACTCCATGTTTACCCAAAATATTGTTATTAATTATTGGAAATGGAGGGTGAAACAAGGCAAAAAAAAAAGACGATAGAGAACAAATAAATTTCAATATCTCTGATCTCAATCGCAATATATTAATTTTTCAAGACAATATTTGCCCTTTATTGATAAGAATCAATGCACATCTAAGTTTATACCATGTAAAATGGTCCTCGAGATATATGGGACTAAATAATTGTGAAAAATATATTGTCAATATAAATACACAAGTACTGCGAGATCTAAATTACCAAAATTGTCTTTTTTCTAAATAAATAAAATTCTTAGAAACCTCATATGAAAAACTTGTGAATCAAAGCGAGAAAAGTAGTTCCTATTTATAGAAAGATAAAGTACCCTTTCCCTACTCCGCTTGACTATATAGTCAAGAAATGCGTCTCTTGAAAACTCAACTACCAATGCAGTGCATCTGTGGTAACTTTTTGGGTTCCGAGAGAGCAACAGCCACATTTTTCACTTGTGAACCAAACATTGGCTTATGGGAGACCAATCGTCTTGCACATATGCTTCTTCACTGGTGGAGCACATCTACCGACCAATCTACCGAAGCCTCGCGTCTTTTTCGGAGGGGCACAATACACTAGTACACACCATCCACTAGAACTATGTGGTGAGGCATAGTTTAGAGGAAGGCACTATTCAATAAAAACCACACGTTGGCTAAAAGAAACGAGCCACGCACCCGACCCACACACATGCTCAAGTGATGGTTAAAAGAAACGAGCCACGCACCCGACCTACACACATGCTCAAGTGAGGGTCATATGCGCTAATAAGCGTCATTGCACCCCTTGTACATACACATATGCATTCACATGCTATGCATATTTTGCATAGGTCTTTTCTCATTTTTATTCCTAAAACACAAGGGAAGAGGATGAACTTGTATCTAAGGAAGTCTTTCCTATGCACATCTTCAGTGTAGGATAAATAACCTATTATTTTTCTCTATCAATAAATAAGATAAAACACAACACTTTTTAACACATTATACTTTACAAAACACCATGGAAAAAAAGAGGTATTATTTGGGTATAGCATAGGAAAAAGTTAATATAAAATTGTAACATTAAAATATAGAAGTAAAGATGCACCTCAAAAATCCATCAAAAAAAGTTGTTTTGATGTTGAAAAACCCCCTAATTGATCACCTCGACATCGAGAGGCATGAATATGAAAAACAGAAACAAAAGATTTTGAGTTCATGAAATAGTGCATACTGTCTATTTTCAAGATTTTCATATGTTTATAAATCTACTTGATTTTAACTATTTTCGGAGTTTAAAATTTTATAATTAGATATAAAAATAGATTTTAAGATACTAAGAATCTTTACAACAAAATTACATGTTATGATAAAATTTAGAGATGCGTTTTAATTAGATTGTTTAAAATTGCAACCTTATAGAAACCACACCCAATAACTAAAGTGTTTTCCAAAGTAAAATACAGCAGTTAGGCCGTGTTTTGACAACGGTCTCAGCTAGAATAGTCATTATAGCCCTTATCATGAGACTTTGATTCGCGGTTTCCATCACCTAAGTCCTTCCTAATAGCCTTATTACTCAAATACAGTTGAGGTTTGACCACACCTCGAATGATTAGAAGGTATTTGAATTTTCGACCCTAGTCGAGGTCAACTAGGCTCGAACTGGGGTTGGCATGCTCTCTTTGATTTCTTCTCAAAATCGTTAATCATTTCCAAACCAACCCAAAATATGACCCCCCATAGGCTGCGTTTATGCATTTTGAAAATCATATGCTTGTAGTGCATGATACTTCGCTGTCTTACGTTACTGGGTTATTGAGCTTTATTCCGAAGCTTTGAGGACACGGTTTGTTTTCTATTTCTTCTTCTTCGTCGTTTTTTATTTTATTTTATTTTATTTATAAATGTTAACCACGAATATCATGACACAGGGTTCATAATTGGAGCTCCCAATTCATTTGTACTGGGGTTCCTTTCTTGCCTGAATCTTGATTTTGATCTTCATGAAAAGATGCCAATTTGATCTGATCTCTATCTAGAGATGCCTTGACCTTTCATAGAAGAATTAGTAAATAAATAGAAAAGCGATTCCCTAGTTTGATTTTTTGTCGATAAAATTGAAGCTTATTGAACTTTGAGCTTCTCCCTCTGTATATGTAGCATCAGCTCACTTCCTGATAATTTTGTGTGAGAAAATTTAGGACATGGCCGGAGGTGGAGATAGAAGTGGATTACTGAATATACTTAGAAATTGAGATTGTGAGTGCTATGTGAGGAATTCAAAAGAAAATATCTAAATTTCCCTCAAGCGCCCTGAAATTTTATAATACATAAAATAAATCCTCAAAATTAAATTAAAGTTTATACTTAACCTCGTTTATTAATGATCAAATTCACACTTATTCATTTGTTTTCAAATCTTCTAATGTATTTGAGTGATTCTCAAGCTAAAATTTTATAATTTTTTTTGAAAAAACTACCCTAATAAAAGCCTAGCAATAGAGTAATTTTGGAGCCTAACAATAGAGTAATTTTGGATACTTTTTTAAGGCATCAGAAACACTTAAGGCACATTTGGCTTGCGTGAAAAAAAGTTCTTATGTGATTAGGTTTGAGAATATTTTAATACTAATTAACTGTCAATTGGTGTGAAAAGATACACTAAAACTTAATTGACGTGAACATATTTCCACACTTAACCACATGAAAGGATTATTTTATGTAAAAATTATTTTCCTGCGCAACAAATGTGTCGTAGAGATCAATTCCCAAACTTTTGAATCACTTGTCAGTACGAGTTAAACTAGGCAAGAAGCCACTCCACTCAGCTGCCAAATGTGGAGGGACTTACTGCCGCGGCAGGCATGCGTGCGCCTCTCTGTTTAATTTCAATGTACTTAGCTAATGACACGTCTAAAATTTCACATGTGCTATTTTTCGATAGAATCCGTATGTTTCTTTTTATTTGGGGAAAATTTTAAAAAAAAACCCAAGACCACAATTTTTACGCAACTTACCTCCAAACTAAGCTTTTTTCTCATTTTTTTCCAAAAAAACACACTTTCTATGCAAATACCCCCCTAAAGGAGAGAGTTCATTTATTTTAGAAGGAAATACCTTTCCCGTACATAGAAATCAATTTAGCCAGATTTGACGTTGACTTTCGGAGCTCATTGCTGGTGTGAACCACCACAGTGTCGGAGCGCATGATCCACTGCCGGAGCGCACATACACAGTGCTAGAGTGTTGTGACTCCAGATTACACTGCCGGAGCGCACATAGGCAGTGCCGGAGAGTTTGTGACTCCGGAGTGTTGCACTATCGGAGCGCACTTACACAATGTCGGAGCGTATCATCTACTGCCGAAGCGCACAGACACAACGTTGGAGCGCTGTGACTCCAGAGTGTTGCACTACCGGAGCGCACATACACAGTGCCAGAGCACTGTGACTCCAGATTCCAATGCCGGAGCACACTTACACAGTGTCAAAGCGCATGATCCACTAGCGGAGCCCACATAAATAGTGCCAGAGCGCTCTGACTCCAGAGTGTTGCATTGCCAGAGTGTACTTACGAAGTGCCAGAGCGTACTTACATAGGGAGCGTAGTTTAGGTATTTTTTTATAGTATTATTTGATTGAGGGGGTATTTGCATAAAAAGTATATTTTTGGAAAAAAAAGTGAAATAAAAAGTAGGTTGGGGGTAAGCTGCATAGAAAGTATAGTCTTGGGGTTTTTTTTGTAATTTTTCCTTTCATTTTGTTTGGAAAAGGTTTATACAAGAGTGAGGCCTAAACAATCAAATCAAGGTGCACATCAAAAATTCACTATTAAAAGGGGTTTTAAAATGTCCAAATATCCTCAAACTTTTAGTCTTGATCTCAAGATGGATGGATATGAAAAAAAATGGATTACAAGTTTTGAAAATAGTGCATCTTGTGATGCAATTTTTGGACCGTCAATTTTCAAGATTTTTAAATACTAATAAATCTGTTGGATCTACAATTTTTTTGAAGCTTTAAATTTTATGACTAGAGATAGAAATAAATTTTCAGGCTACGACAAAGATTCCAGTATGAAAATAACATTTGATACTATTTGAAGGTGCACCTTACTTTGATTGCTTAGGACATCAGCCTTATACAAAGCACACCCATTTTTATTTCGGGCAAGCTTTATATGCTTCCTCTACATCATAAACTTCTATACTTTATCCTATCCAACCGTCCATTCTGAATGGACGGCTGAGATGACCCCAATCACAATGTACGCTATTTTATTTTTAATTTTTTTCCTGTTAAGTATTTGACGCCAAATTTTGGACATCCACTCCTCGCTTAAACTCGCACTTGTAAAAACTATATAAAAAAAATTCCCAACAAAATAAAATGATTAAAATACCCATGAAAGTTTCAAGAGGTATTTTGGTCATTATATTTTATTGAAATATTCTCTTTAATATTTTTTTAAGGTGCACCCCATTAAGAAGATGGAACGTACCAAATTTTATAATCATACAATTTCTAGAAAAAAGAATATTCTGAAGCGTCAGTGGCTCACTTGATATAAATTGGACGTCTTGATGGAGGAAGTATATATCTTCTATGATGTAGGGGATGCATAGAAATCCTTTCCTTTTATTTATGATTACATTTAATCAATGTTAACATGATCAGATTGGCCACAAAATGAGTAAGGGTTTGGTCCAATCAAAACCAATGCAACTACTGGTTGAACTAGTTGGATCAAGTTTTAGAAAAGAAAAAGAAAAAGATATATTATAGTTTAAAATATAAAACATATTAGAAATTTATTGAACATCATTTGTTTTTAACCTAGTTTCTATGTGGAAATGCGGGCCTTTTAATAAATCTATTTTTGAGATGAATTTTAGGACTTAATTTCCAAGACTTAATTAAGAGGTCAGCATATGTAGAAATGTGGGCATCTTAATAAATTTATTTTTGAGACGAATTTTAAGACTAAATTTTTAAGGACATGTAATCTCTAACATGGAAATCATGAATATGAAAAAATAAATAAATTTTAAAAACTAAAAATAATAATTATAGTAAAAAAAACATTTGAAACATTAGTTTCTATTGTTTTTAGATGGAACACCTACTTGGATCCATCTTTAAGATGGATGCTTTATACTTTCTAGACCGCATATGTTGAAATGTGGTCCAGTCCGTATGAAACAATTTTTTTTTTTTGGTAAGTCAGTGGGGAGAGGGTCCCTACCCTTCATAGAAATTGAGCCTAGGATACAGCGTTGCAAATCATCAAATGCTAACCGATTAAACATGAGCACTTTCCTATTGAACTTCATTTAGCTAGTTGAATTGGTTAAATCGGTTGGCCCAACCATTTAAATAATCTCGATTTATCTTAGTGCATATCGATAGAATCCTCGATCAGCAACCAAACCGGTCGGATCATCAACTATATTTCCACCTAGGCAACATACGTCATTGGGCAGCCAAACATGAGGGACTCTTACAATTAGGGGTGGCACTGGACCCGGACTTGACCCATAGCTGTCGTGTATAATCGACACGGGTCCGAGTATGAGTTCAAGTTTTGGACCCCCGAGTAGCGTCCAAGTCCAATAAAGGATACCCAGATAGTCACGGGTCAGGGTACGGGTCTTACTATACCTGATCCGACGTGTACTTGGGCCCAAATTTTTAGTTTACCCAAAGGCCAAAACCTCAACCCTAAAATTGTTTCAATACTTTTCATCTTCCCCTAGATCCTAAACGGCCAAATCCTATTGCCATCCTCCACCTCTTAGTTTTTTGGAGACATAGCTCTCTCTCTGGATCTCGAATGTCTCTCTTCCTCTAATTGTCCACGCCTCAAAAATTAGTTCTCTGTTGTTCACTATTGTAGGCGACAAAAAAAGAAGCTCATAATGAAGGTGGCAATGGACCCAACCAGACCTGGGACCCGACAGAATAGACCTCGGGCCTGACGAATATGAGCATGGGTTCAACGTTCGGACCCAACGAATCGGGTCTAGGTCCAAAACCTGGACCCGAATACATTCGGGTAACTCACCCATTGCCACCCCTACTTACAATGGCAAGCCTCCATGGCTCCTTTCTAGTTCAATGTATTTGGCATGACACGTTGCTGTGACGTGTTAATAAAATTCCATGTTGGCACTTTTCCATTTTCACTCGTGGAAAATGGACTTCCAATTCATTTCAAAAACCTAAACCGCCACTCCCGATACCATTTCCTTCGACCGTAGCAGAGTTCTGATCTGTAACGGCGGTTCTCATATGAATCCAAGTTCTTCTCCAAAGCCTTAAAAACCTGCTTATTCAACCATGATCCTCTAATGGCAATTCGCAGATCAATCAAAGCCCTCCTACGAAACCATAATTCCCGTTCTCTCTTTCTCCAGCCACCTGCAAGTCCCCTCATATCTTTACCGCCGCCATTTCTCCACCAGTTCCCATTATTTTCCTCGAATTCGTCAACAGTTTCGTCTGTTTCTTCAAACGCTTTCTCTTTCTCTCTCCTCTTCACTTCTGCTCGCACTCGCTTCTTTACACCATTGCGCAAATGGGTTCCTCTCTCTGGTCCTCTCTTTCTCTCTGCACCTCCCTGGAAGCTCTCTCAGTCTGCAACTCCTCTGTATTTACGTGGTGAACTTTGTAAATTAAGGAAGAGGTCGGTGAATGTAATTTCAGAAAGGGCTTTTGCAGCTAAGCTTGCCTTGGTTTCAGGAAATTCAACAGGTTACGTAGAGACTCTGATTGATAACAAGCGATTGGGAAGCCACGTTTCTTATTCAGAGAGTCTTCTGAATCCACCCAATTTGATTTCCATTACCAGAATGGTATCTGGTCCAGTAATTGGATGGTATGAATTTGCTTTATAAATTATCGAGAAATTTACATTTTTTATGCAGGTTAGTTTGAATTCGCAAATGGAAATTCTGTTTGTGATGCTTGTAAAATTCTGGTAGTTTATTCATTGGATGATAAAAAGAATGACATGTTTATGGGTACAATATAGGGTGTTCTGGTTAGTAATATTTCTCATTGCATTTTATTGTTAGGTCACTTTGTTGCCTTCTTTTGTGGCTATTGACTACTTCCTGTTTCAGTCTCCCAGTAGCTAAGAGCTGTTAAAGTTTGAGGAAAATACAGATTATCTAAAATATAGTTGAGGAAAACCCAAAAATCTAATATTAGATAAATCCAAAAGTTTACTGCCAACCAGTTTAAACTGCTCACGTTTGCTCGTTTGGTTTGAACTGCCTGACACAGGCAAGGTCCACCCTAGTTTGGAAACCTTAAAATGATCCGTGGGCACTAGTTCACCAATTGTAAAATCCATGCAGCCTGGTCTGAGGTGTATCTCAGTGGTAATCAATGGGTGCGTCTTATCCATGCATTTTTTATAAATGGCTCATTTAAGGGTTCAAGGTGTATCTTTGCCCCTTTTGTTGATCTCTGTTGTTTTGGTTGTCGGGGAGATTGTTGGATGGAGTATTTCTAGATTGAAGGCTGAATGGATTTCAATAGTATCTCAATGACGTGTAGTTCTTCAGCAGCAATATACAAATGACACCTTTATGTTCTATGACCCGCCCAAGAATGTTGGATTATTAGGGAAGAGATGAACCCCAAAACTCCGAGGTTACTGGTGGTGTCGTAAGACTGAGGATTGCAGCGTGGAGGATTTTCCTAAACAATGAGAACTCCCTGTGTCTACCTCACCAGGGCCATGAAAGGCTTTCTCTTGAAGACTCTGAGAAATGTGGCCCTGTCATCTTGGGAGGAGGGTGGTTATTTTCTATCCGTTAGATAACTACACTCTCTCTCTCTAAGAAGTCTCCCTATTTTAGTGATATACATAGGCTTTTTTATAAGATAAAGAGAGAAATATTTGATGGCTCCATGGCCACCCATATGTGCCAACATTCTCCCACTTGGCCATGAGGGTCAGGTATATTAAAATAATATCACTGAGTGATTTAAAATTTATGAGCATATCCTTATCAAGAGGCTTTTTAAGCTAGTGCGGTTATACATCTCATAACAAAAAATATCGAAAGTCATGTCATGGATTTTTCACGCTAATGCGGCTTTTTCTCTCATGACTAAGACATAAAAAAATATCGCATTTGGGAGTTTCTGACTTAAATATTTATAGGTCCCATCAAAGCTATATCGTTTGATAATATTTTTGCACTCAACCCTTTTGTTAAATGGTCTTCAATCATATCTGAAGATGGCAAATAACTTACAATTATTTCATTCTTTCCAATAATATCATAAATATAATGATAATCATTTTCAATATGCATACCCTTGGAACTATAAGCTCCATTTCTAATTGCTGAGATAACAGCCTGATTATCACAAAAAAATTTAACAGGTCCGTCGGCTATATCCAACTTCAAATCATTTATGAAGCGTTTAATCCAGACGGCGTAAGTTGTAGCAATGTTACAAGCAATATACTCAGCTTCCATAGTATACCGAGCCACACAATCTTATTTCTTGCTAGACCAAGAAACACAACCACCTCCAAGGAGGAATACAAATCCTGACCTTGATTTTCTATCATCTGGGTCTCCAGCAAAGTCTGCATCAGAGTACCCAGTAACCTCTAAGTTATCAACTTGGAAGCATAACTTGTAATTTTTAGTTTTTTGAATATATCTGAGTATCCTTTTTACGGCTTGCCAATGAATCATCCCAGGATTACCATATGCATGACTCAAATCAGGTCTTGTACATAACATGGCATAATTTATGCATCCTATAGGTTGAGTATATGGAATTCTTTCCATTTCATCTTTGTCACTATCATTTAATGGACACATTTTCTTAGACAATTTTAAGCATTTACAAACAAGTGTATCTATGGGCTTACAATTTTCCATCTTAAATATCTTTAAAGTACTTTCTAATAATTTTTTTGAGATAAACATAGAAGCCTCCAATTTCTATCTCTTGTTATCTTAATGCCCAATAGATATGAGGCTTCTCCCATATCTTTCATCTCAAAATGAGAACTTGGTCATGATTTGGTATGGTTAATCATGCCAATATCATTATCGGCTATCAAAATATCATCTATATATAGTGACAATATAATAAAATTGCTCCCATTATTCCAGACATATACACAATGGTCTAACCTATTGGCTATATAATCAATTTCAGTGATTGCATTATGATAAGTAAAGTACCATTGCCTAGAAACTGTTTTAGACCATATAAAGATTTCTTAAGTTTGTATACTTTGTCTTCTTGCCCTTTAATTACATATCCTTCTGGTTGTTTCATGTATATATCTTCCTTTAATTCTCCATTTAAGAAAGCTGTTTTGACATCCATCTGAAATAATTCCAGATCATAATATGCAACTAATGCTAAGATGATCGTAATAGGAAAATTTTGCTACAGGAGAATAAGTCTCTACATAATCTATGCCCTCCCTTTGGGTAAAACTTTTAACTACCAACCTAGCTTTATATTTATCAATGGATCCATTTGCATTAAGCTTTTTTTTTAGGACCCATTTGCAACCGATGGCTTTTCTATCTTTAGGGAGGTCAACCAACTCCCAAACTTGATTTCTTTTAATAGAATCAAGTTCATCATTCATGGCTTGAGTCTACTCAGCTGAGTCATGTGAGCTAATAGCTTCACTGTAGCTTCGAGGTTCATCCATTGTATCCTCACTCATTGAAGAATAATTATCTTCATTCATAAATACATAAAATTCTTCTAAAGTCGTAGGTGGGGCTCTAGTTCTTTTAGGCTTGTCTGGTATACTTGATTCAATTGAATCATTCTCACCAAATGTAGAGGGAGTCTGAGAAACAAGGTCTTTCAGACCCTTATCTTTATCAATTTCATGTAAGTCAAGAGGCTTATTTAAAATATTTTCATCATCTATATTTTCTGAGAAATGAGCATCACGACTCTCTATTAACAATCTAGTATCATGGTTATAGAATCTACACCTTTTAGAATTTTTTGAATAGCCTATAAAAGAGCATTTTATAGTTTTACTTTGTAATTTATCTTTATTTTATGGTGGTATAAGTACATGTGCCTAAGAACCCCAAACTTTCAAGATAGTAAGGTCAGGTTTCATATGGAGCCAAGTCTACAGATTTAGTTGGAACACGATTAATAATATATATTGCAGTGTTGAGAGCCTCACCCCAAAAATGAGGTGATAAATTTGAATGACTCATCATAGATCTAACCATGTCCATTATTTCTTCTTTCAGCTACACCATTTTGTTGTGGTGTATATGGCATGGTTGTTTTGTGAATTATACCATGCTCTTTACAAAATTCGGTAAATAAGGTCGAGCAATATTCACCTCCCCTATCTGTTCGAAGAATTTTAATATGTCTACCTAATTGATTTTCTACCTCAGCTTAATATTCTTTAAATGTTTCTAATGCATCTGATTTTTTACTAATTAGGTATACATATCCATAACGTGAAAAATCATCTATAAATGCTATGAAATATTCCATACCTCTATGTGTTTTTATATTTAATGGACCACATATATCAGAGTGAACAATATTAAGCAGTTCACTGGACCTTTTCCCTTTAGGGAACGGCTCTTAGTTAATTTACCAGAAATACATGGCTCGCATGTTTTGAACACAATTTCTCGTAAATTGGGGTGCAACCCTCTTTTAACCATTTGATTCATGCTGTCTTTATTTATATGTCCTAATCTTAAGTGCCATAAATATGGATCATCCATACACATAAAAGCATCAAAGAGGCATCAATATAACCAAAAAAGGATGAACCTTCATTAATATTCAGTCGGTACAAATAGTCAACTTAGTATCGTACACCAATGCTCTAGAATGCTTCCCAAAATTTTGAGACTGCATCAAATTTTTCTTCTTACTTTAAGAAGGCTAAGAAGCCCCTTCAATATCACAGTTACATTCATTGAAATTTCAATAAATTTCAATAATTTTATTTTTCCATGGAGAGGTAGATACAGAGAGTTCTCATTGTTTAGGAAAATCCTCCACTCTGTGATTCTCAGTCTTACGACACCGCCAGTAATCCTGGGAGTTTTGGGGTTCATCTCTTCCCTAATAATCCAACAAAGAATAGATGACCCATTTGTGGCTTTTGGTTTAGGGTTTTGGGGTGGGTTTTGGCCTTAAGGTTAATATTCAAAAGACCAAATCGTTGGGGATTTTGTGCACTGAAGAGGAGTTGGTAGGCTTTGTTTATAGGGTTGGGTGTGCAATGGATAAATACCCAAGCGTTTGTATAAGCGTTTGGGGATCAACCTTGGAATGCCCTTGCTTTTGGGTAATGTAGGACAAAGTAATTGGAAGATTGACGAGGATGTTGGATTCTCGGAAATGTTATTTCCTATCTCAGGGAAGCAAGCTTACTTTGAAGAAATCAAACCTGTCATGGCTTCATCTACTTCATGTCGATTTTGATGCCACTTGAAAATTGTTAACCACAGAAAAAAGTTATTGAGGGGTTTTCTATTGGATGGCACATGTATGAGGAAAAGTATGCCTTTGGTGAAACAAAGTGTGCAAACCTAAAAAGAGAGGATTGACCACTAGGTGGCTAAAGCAAACAAATTATGCCTTGTTGGGCAAGTGGTGGCAGAGATAAGTGAATTTATACAACTCTTTAGACAAAAAGTACTGACCAATAAGTATGGTACTGAACATAGTTTTTAGGAGCGGGAGCCGGGGATCGTGAAATGCTAGGAAATCTCTATGGTTGAGAGCGCTGTCCGTAAAATGTGAAAGTTAAGGATCTAGATTTCCAAATGTTAGGGATTGAAATCCCAACCTTTTGGGGATCTTGGTTCCAACCTTTTAGGGATCTTGTTCCCAACCTTAAAAAGGGTAGAGCCTAGGACTACTAGAAGTATGGTGTGTTGCTAGCTGACTACGAATGTAAAAAATCATTAATTCGGTTGTTATCTTGGCTTTTGGTTGGGATCGAGATCCCTAACAGTAGGAATTGGGATCCCTAGCGGTGGGGACTGAGATCCAAAATTTAAAACCTTCAAGATCCCTTTCCCGGAGCGAGGTTTTGGAGCGGAACACCACCTATATTGGGAGATCCAGTCAACTATGTTACAGATGGGTTTGGTAAATTAGTGTGTAGCACGAGGAACAATCGAGGTTTGTCTTGGGTTTGGAAGGGGTCAATTGGATTAGAAACAATTTTGGTGCCAACATGAGTGTTTGGAAGGTAGAGACCGGGTCTATGAAACTAGCTTGCTCATCCTTAAAAATTTTCAGTTTGAGGACATTGTGAACTTCTGAAAATTTTGTAAGTTAATTTCTTTGCTACTTAGGAGATGCATGTTTGTTGTTTCTTATTTTCCTTTGCTTGATTCAAGGCTTACATGTATCTGGTATGATTGGTCTCTCTGATAATGCCTTATTCTGTATTATGAGTGATGTTAAACTGCTGCAATTAAAGCTCAAATATAGTTATCCAAATTTTAATGAAGTTTTTATGCAGGATGATCATAAACGAGTCATATTCTATGGCATTTTTGGGTTTAGCTGTTGCCGGGGCGAGTGATTGGGTAAATTTTATCTCATCATTTGGGCACAAATGGATGTATTTGCAGCTTCAATGTAAATGAAACTGATAGCCCTTTGCCTTGTATTTCTTTTGTAGCTAGATGGTTATGCAGCTCGGAAGATGGGTATAAGTTCTGTGATTGGATCGTACCTTGATCCGCTTGCAGACAAGGTGAGTATCTTCATGAAATATTGACTGTTTTCTGTTAGCTCATAGTCTTCACAGCATCCATCATTGAGATCATACTGTTGACTCTTTCCTACACTTGCAGGTTCTTATCGCCTGTGTTGCCTTGTCAATGGTAAAGAAAGATCTTTTGCACTGTAAGTACCCATAAAGTAGTGTTTGAAATTGCTATTTCATATCTGTGTTGCACACTTCTCTTATTGCAAAGGAGCCTCCTGCATCGTCTGGTGTTGCCTGTGTTGGAATGAAATCGCACTTGTGATTTCCTTGTGTCGATTGCAACAAATGTTCAATGACCATTAGTTTTTAGGAAATCAGCTTCTAAATGTGTAGAACGGTGTGATGAAATATGTGTGCGTGAAGCTAGAATGCGTTCTTGCTTAAACTTTAAAACTTATGGTATAGTCAGTGGGTAAAAAACCTGCAACTCAAGTCGGAACTACCTGAGTCGACTTGGAACAAATCCTACAATCAGGCGAGTTGGCCCGAGAACCTATTTTCCTTACTGTTTCAAGTGAGGCAAAAAGAAGAAGGGAAGCAATTTTAAGCCTTTTTTTATGGAACTTTTCGGATCAAGC